TCAAGGCGTGTTCCCTCAGCACTGACTTCCTTGAAAAGGCCAGCATTCAGACAATAACGTTCTAGCAGACTTCCAATTTTGTGGCAAAGTCTCTCGAAGTTGTAAGCAAGGTCTACCTGCCGAGATTTGGTAATTGACATGACAGCAATCTTGGCTTTTGATATATACTCCACTGACATCTTTCGGTCTGAGGGAGAGCTCGATTTTTTTGTTAAATGTGTGCTTGGCAAGACGTCGGCAAATACTCTAAGCCACTGAGAGCCAATAAAGTAGAGGTAGTTTAGATCCTTGAATTCTGGTGGAATGTAGAAGATTTCTGTGCATGGAGAATCCAGCCAACATGTCAAAAGTTTACTCAGGAAACTAAAAGTAAAATAAACATGCATAGGGTGGTAAAAATGGAATGAGAAATAAATTATAAGTTTTGCACGTATACGTTTCCAGATAACCCAAATATTTTTACCAAATCAGTCTGCATAAACTTTTCTCACCGTTTACTGACCATTCAACATACAAATTAAGTAAGTAGTTCAACCCGGAAACATCGGTTCGAGAACATTTCAAAAAGCCATCACATAGGAATGTTTCAACTACAAACGTAATCAAGAAGAATACAAATGCCGGAGCATGCAGTAGGAGATCGTCAGAAAATCACGTGTAGTGCCAAGGCTGTAAAAGCTTTAAACTACGAATTATGCTGTCATTTAAACTATAAAGCAAAGCATTAAATATCTGATTGAGACCAGGCAAACGGGGTTAAAGTGATCACGAAATTCCTTTTGAAACGGATTACAACATATCCAAACGCAAGTGGTACTTGTGGCGAGACCTGTTTGTAGAATAGCGCCTAAGTTGGCATTCTAAAGCCATTTAGAATCGTTATAACAGCTATCTTGCGCCTCTTCTGACGCAAACCCGGTGGCATGGCAACCTTCTTGTAACAGAACTGTGTTTAAGTCTACGTTTAACTCTCCTTGAAATTGGGTATTATTGTAAATAATTGAATATTTAATCACGCTAAAATCACCTGCTGGTGTAAACTAAACATTAAAATAACATAAAAATTCAAACTCAGAACAATTCAAACGGAATGAAACAGATAACAAGTGAATCTAATGCCAACAGAACGAGAAGAAACAAAATATTTCTAAAAATTGCAAAAATCGCACTGAATAATATTTTCATGATCACTAAACGATTATCCTTGAATTCCACTTAAAATACTTCATTCATGCCTAATTCCCGTACGTCACCCGGGACTTCGTGTTTTTAGAAAACTTCCAACATAAAGCAGCAAAACTCATCCATTAGTCCTGCAACCTGTCAAACACAGTTGATTCTGACAGGTCAAACCCCACCTCCCATGTTCAGAAAGGGCTGTCTACCTATATTCTCAAGAAGTGCGAGATACTTCATAAAAATGGAGGCTTATGCAGTGCTTGTATTTCCAAAATAAGTGTATTCTGTACTCTTATGAACTTCCTTACCAAATAGTTGTGGGGACGCAAGTGAGAAAGTTTTTATTCACGTAGTCGATCGTTGGATGTTTTGTCTTGACATCCCCCTTACGAGTCTTACGAGTCTTTGTTCTTCTGTTAGCTCTTCTTCACTCTTCCAGTAATATAAGAGGTCAGACTTCACTCTAACTGTTATCTTACGTCCAGGGACTTCCTTTTTGAATAATAAATTAAGGCAACACAGCTTAATTTGAGTAAGACAGTTTCACATATTCTCGAAAATATGCATTATCGTAATTATCATTATAAACGGGTTCTTGTGATCAAAAAAGACTAGCCTATTCGAATCTTTACTGTTTGATTGCTATATATGAGTTTCGCTGAGAAAATTAGTATGACGCTTTGTGACAATATATAATTGGCTTAAAATATTGCCTCCCTCCGAGTCCAGAAAAGACAGTAGCTCTTAAAATCGCTTGAGCCTTAGAAATTGTAGTTCTCCTGTCAGCACACGGCCCCAGCGTAGGTGGGGACCCAGACGGGGCCAGGCGGGGCAATCCGGGGCTAAGGGTTAGCCAAATGTATTGTAAAATTTTTCGAAATCTATTTTTTGTCAAAAAAAGTATGAATAACCATTAGTTTGCATCTTCTTATTTGATAAAACAATGAAATCGGGGGAAGGAAACGGGAAAACGGGGGGTGCACGCTGCGAAAATATTTTCCGTAGGTGGGGC